CTTTCCAGGCTTCAATAAACTCTCTAACCCAGTCTACTATAAAGAATGTCTAGTCATACTTCTATCAAGGGATCATCTGGGAGCCACCCTTAAGACAAAGTCAACCGTAGTTTCTTTTTCATTTATTTATTTATTCATTTATTTCTTGAGACAAGGTCAGTACAGCTACATACATGTTTCATGTTATTAAACTTGTGGTTTTTGGTAGTTTGTGGGTCCATTTTAGTTAATATTAATTATTATTGGAGTCAATCCCACTTTTCCTAAAGCCCTAGGATGATTTTTTAAGCACATGGGTTGTTATATAAATTTGAAAATGATAGAATATACTCTTCATCTCTATTTCAAAGTCTCTGATGGGGAAGCATAATAGAATTCCTTACTTCTCTGAATACCTTAATGGATACTCAGGATTTTGTCCAGTAGAAGGATGCCCAAAGAGTCTCCAGGACTTAATGGACTCCCCTCAAAAACAGAACTATTCAAATGCATTGGGAAATCTTGCCTTCTCTATTGCCCTCTTAAAGGTCTACCAACAATATTGGCTGTTAAAGGCTTAGAAGAGTTCTACAATAAAAGCCTTGCTTAATTTTGTTTAACCCAGAGTTTTCTCCTTTTATTTTGCTATATTACCCCCCTCCTCCTTTTTAGACAGTTCCATTATTATTTCAAGAAACTACTGACTCATGAAGGACAGTTTAATATTGATCTGATGATGAATTCCCTTAAAAACAACATGCTTTCTGTTATTGTCATTATTGTTGCTATTTACTGATTACTTGAAATATGCCAAGCACCTTCTTAAGTGCCTAATAAAAATGATTTTATTTAATCCTCACTATAACTCTATGATGTAAGTGCCACTGTAATCTTCACTTTGCAGATGAGGAAAATGAGGCCTTGAGAAATTAAGAAACCTTCCTAAAGTCAAACCACCTGTAAGTGGCGGAGTTGGCATTCAACCATTTCTGACTGACTCTGGAGACTTGAAGCCCTCTTGTTGCCTGGGATTTAGAAAAGTCCTTCCCGATGATGTTGAAATCCGTCTTTGGACCAGGCTTTTACAGGGTAGAACAATCATATTATGGAGGGCTGTGAGGAGCAAGGAGCAGAGAAAAGGTAGCTCAGGGTGGAAAGTACAGGGGCCACTTGCACATTGCTTCTTCCCACCTGGCCCTTCTCTATTAGGTATTGTGTGGTCTCTTAAAATGAGCTTCAGTTTCCTCATCTGATTAATGGACATACAGATACATCTCAGGGTTGTGGTAAAGCTTGAAGTTAAAATCTGTGGCTGGGCAGAATGGCTCACTCCTGTAATCCCAGCACTTTGGGAGGCCAATGCAGGTGGATTACCTGAGGTCCCGAGTTTGAGACCAGCCTGGCCAACATGGCCAAACCCCGTGTGTACTAAAAATAAAAAATTAGCTGGGTGTGGTGGTGTGCACCTGCTATCCCAGCTACCCAGGAGGCTGAGGGAGGAGAATCACTGGAACCCAGAGGGAAGAGGCTGTAGTGAGCCAAGATTGCACCACTGCACTCCAGCCTGGGGGACAGGGCAAGACATGGTCTCAAAAATAAATAAATAAATAAATCTGCACAGTCCTTACAGGACAATGCTTCAGCATGGTGATGTGAGGTACGAGTGCCTGACACATGTAGACATGAAGTAATGCTGATTATATGACCTTGGACGAGTTTCTAAACCTCTCCAGGTCTTTAGTTTCTTCACAGGTATAATGGGATAATAATGTCACCTACATCACGGTGGTCACTGTGAAGATATGACAAGTTAACACTTAGAGCACACAGTAAGCACTGAACGAGTTTGCCATTTTTGTTGTTTCCCTACACGTGGCTAACACTCTGGAGCAGCTTCAGAGAACACATCCAGAATCCTGTCACTAGAACAAAAGGCCCCAGACTTTCGAACTCTGAAGATCCTATTGTCTGCAAGTACACTATCGCCCTTTCATCCACACAATTGTCACACGCTGCAAAAACAGAGCTAGACTATGGGTGCCAGTAACTCTTGAGCAAAGTTCCTTAAAATTTAAGGGAGAATAATTTTGTAAAGAATCCTTAATTCCTCTTTTCAGTGAATGTTGATTTGGCCTGACAACAGGCGGCCTGCGGAGTTATATAAATGGCCTGTTACCACTGCTACAGTTGGTTTCTACATGGCCCAAACAAAAGAGAATGAAGAAACAATCTTATCACTTCGCCATCTCTGCCCTCATCACAGGTAATTCCTAAGCCCATGACATACACACTGGTGTGCTATGATATGGTGCCACATTGTGAATTGTCATCTGGGTGAGGAAACACTATCAAGCCTCTCATCAACTATCAACACTATCACTATCTTTCTAGATTTCCGTACAATCTTCCTAAATTTCCCCTAAAATAAAGGCACTTTGGAATGATGCTGAAGCATTTACAATGGACAACTGGAATCATTACATCTAACTGGGTGCACAAAAATTGCATTTACTAATTAATTGCCTTGGTTATTAGAAAATCTTATTTGCTTTCACTCACAATGAAACATTTCTAAACAATATATTTTATTGCACTTATTTGATAAAATAAAATGTAACACTAATTCAAAGTGAATAATTTGTAAAGCATGGAAAAATATAAAGAAAATTTCAAGAGTCTAACAGTGGCGTCTCTCCCAAATTCATATGCTGAAACCCAAGGTGACAGTATTAAGAGATGGGGCCTTTTTGGAGTGATTAGGTCATAAGGCCTCTGCCCTTAAAAAGAGGTCCCAGAGAGCAAAGTGGCCCTTCCACCATGTGAGAAAACAGCTAGAATGTCCCATCTGTGAGGACTAGGCCCTCTTGAGATACCAAATCTGCTGGTGCTTTGATCTTGGACTTTCCAGTCTCTGGAACTGTGAGAAATAGGTGCTAAATGTTTGATACCCACCCAGTCTATGGTATTTTGTTATAGCTACCCAAACGGAATAACTCAAAAATAAAACTCATGCATAAGCTTCCAACTTGCTGTAAACCCCTGGCAATGCTTCAGCCTTTTCAAGACACATATGTAACCATATACCTTTATATATATTTCACAAAATTAGAATGCTAGTGTGTATACTGCTTGATAACCTGCTTTTAAAGTGTTGAAATTATATCATGAGCATTTTCCCATCATTAAACATTTTTCTAAAACATTTTAATGGCTAAATAATGTTCCATTATGTATATACACAAAAATGTATTGCAAAACTTTCCTATTGCTGGTCTTTTATGTTATTACCAAAATGTTAGCACCACAAATAACTGTGATAAATTGCCTTGTACATATCTTCTAACACCTGCTTCTGTTTGTGAACTTAACATTCCAGGAGTGGAATTATTGACTGATAAAAAGTATGTGCATTATAAATACAGTTGGCCTGATTTGGGGCTATAGTTTGACTGTATAATGAAAAGAAGAAAAAAGTAAGAAGTATAAAATCCCCCAATTCTCTAACATCCAAGTGCGTTAATAAACCAGACCATGAGCTACCTTTTCAGCTTCATGTCTAAATGTTCTCACCATCCTTTCTCCTTTCCTCCTGCCTCTTTCCTCACACATTTCCCAGGGTGACTGGGGTCCCAGGCATGGGAGTATTTGCTATTCTTTTTAAAAGACTTTATTTCTAATATAGAATAATAATTGTATGTACAATTATTGTAATATCATTTTAGTATTTATATTATACTTATATAATATAAATGTAATATTTATAATTAATATCTATTGTAATAAATATATAATAAATATAATATCTATTCAGTGATTATTTGGGAACAATATATGTTTACAATGTGGAATGATTAAATTTGGCTAATAAACAAATCCATATCCTCAAATACCTATCATTTTTTGTGATGGAAACACTTAAAATCTACTCTTCTTAGCAATTTTGAAATATTCAAAGCATTATTACTTTCATAGTCACCATTCTATGCAATAGATCAGCAAAGCTTATTTCTCCTGTCTAACTGAAACTTTGGATTCTTTGATCAATATTTCCTTTTTCCCATCAATTCCCCACCCCCAGCCTCTGATAACTATCATCCTACTCTCTACTTCTATGAGCTCAACGTTTTTAGATTCCACACATAGGTGAGATCATGAGGTATTGATCTTTCTGTGCTTGGCTTTAATGAACTGAAATGAGTATTTTGAAGAGATTTCTGCACTCCCATGTTTAATGAACACTATTCACAATAGTTAAGACACAGAAGCAACCTCAGTGCCCATCATCAGATGAGTACATTAAAAAATAGAGTACACACACAGAGAGGAATACTATTCAGCCTTAAATGAGGTGAAATCTATCATCTGCAGCAAGATGGATGAACCTGGAAGATACTATGCTAAGTGAAATAAGTCAGCTATTTGATATCTTGAATTATTGTTGAGTTTTAACAGAACTGAGCCTCTGTTCCATCTACTCTCTCCACCTAGAGCACCCTTTTCAGACTATCGAGTGCTTCCCTTTTCTGCAAGCCCCATCTGCTTTTGAACGAATAACTTCATTTCTTTGTGCCTCAGTTTCCACACTCATCAAATGGACATACAGATGTTACTTAGAATATTGTTTGAGTTTCAATAAGTTAATGTTTATAAAGGGCTTAAAGACTTGCTCAAACTCTAAATATGCCCAACGAATGTTAGTTGTTTAATAATATTGTTATTTGACATACTATCTCATCTCTGCTGCTCAATCAATTTATACATAATTCCATTTACTCTTTAGGAGAACTTCCAGGCTCTAAGATTTCATTAACTGATTGCAGAGGTAAAAATCTGTAAGAGACCTCAGAGATCATCTACAGCCGTGTTCACTGAAGCATAATCTGCTTGTATCAGAATCACCTGGGGAGCTTGTTAAAAATGCAAATACCTGAGCCTGAACCCCATTCAACGGGTCCAGAATCACAGGTGGGGAACCTAGGAAAATGCACTTTTAACAAGTTCCCAGGTGATGATTAAGCACAATGAAGTTTGGGAATTCACAGTCTAAAACTCTAGGTCTTCAGATGAGAGAACAAGGCCATAAAAGGTTAGTTAATTCTACTTAGATGGAAGCGAAAAAAAAAGTCCATCTAGTTTGTGAAATGAAAGAATTGCCATATCTCACATCGCTAGTGAAACACAAATGATTTCAAGGATGCTTCAGTGGTGCTGTGGTCCTGAGCTTTTGTGCTGAAATAAAGGAAGAACATGAGCTCAGATCAGGCTTAAAATGTGATTCCAGATCTGTTGGCAGGAAGATTGATCAAAGTTCGACTTAATTGTGTTCTCTCATTTATGGTCAAAATGTGAATCCCAATGAAGAATCGATCTCAGTCACTGAACAGTGAGTGACACTACTGTAAACACATCTACACCCTGCAGGACAAAGCAGCTTGCTCCTAATAAAGACATTTCTATTTTGTCTTGCTCATTTAATCTGACATTTGTCTTTTGGCAGAAGATGCATGATTGAGACAAGAAACAGAGATGACACTGCTTTCCTTTTGGAACCACATGAAGAAATCTTATTTTATTTTAGGGGTGAGCGGATATGTGAGTCAAGGGAAGATTTCCTGTATACTTACTTCTGAGATACATGGTTCCAACTGAGGAAAAGCCATATAAAAAATGAAGTCCATTTTAATTAATCAGACCATTCATCAAGGACTCCATCTATTTTTAAAAATGAGCATAGTTGATTCTGAAGTCAAACACAACAGTGGTATTAGACTACCACACCCACTGATTAAATCGTGTTATTGGAACAGAGCCCCAATTTTAGATAAACAAAATTAAGACCTCTAAAAAAGATAATGGCACTGTATTTCCTGGTAAATCACATGATATACTTCCAAAATTAAAAAAGAAAAAAAATTGCCTGTAATTGTTATTTGGAAAAATAAGAAATTGTAGTGTCTCTAGGAAATTGCTGTTGCTATGGTTTGTTTGTTTGTTTTTGAGGCAGGGTTTTGTTCTGTTACCCAGGCTAGAGTGCAGTGACACAATCATAGCTCACTGTAACCTCAACCTCCTGGGTTCAAGTGAACCTCCTACCTCAGCCTCCCAAGTAGCTGGGACTATAGGCATGTGCCACTACGCCTGACTAATTTTTAAACTTTTTTTTTCACAGAGACAGGATCTCACTATGTTGTCCCGGCTGGTCTCATAGTCCTGGGCTCAAGTGACCCTCCCAGCTTGGCCTCCCAAAGTGCTGGGATTATAGGCATGAGCCACCATGCCTGGCTGTTGCTATGTTTTTATTGTTGCTGTAGTACTAGTCCTTAAGAAGAAAATAAACTATTCAAGTGTTCGCAGCGCAAATGGGCCCACTGTCTCAGGATGGTTATGTTGTGTCTTGGCTAATATTGCCCCTGCATCTCAGTGGGACAGCTGCTTGAGAGGGTGTGTTATGTATACAAACACAGCACAGGCGTGGTCAGGTGACTGCAACGTGGCGAGAATGTGCCCCAGAAGTAGTACTTTATCCACTTTCCATTTTACTCATTGGTTACAGGCAGAATCATATTGCTTTTTGGCAGTCTGTCCTCCAAACCAGAAGTTTACAAAAGCAACATGGATCACAAAAGCATGGCCATTCAGGTAAAGGCAAAATATACTGGCCAAAAAAAAAATAAATAAATAAAAATAAAAAAACCAAAAGAGTGGCCACAATATTCACAATCATCCAAAGGATTGCATCTTAGGGTGCACAACATTTTGGGGACCATCAAGAACATGCCTTCACTTCTGCTTCTCCCTACTTCCATCTCCACTCTCTCCATCACCCCTCCCCAGCCACATCACCACATTCTCTCTTACTAACAGACTCTGTAGGAAATGGTTTCTGTTGGCTTTGGCTTTGAAATGTTTAAGGGCCCAAAGGCTGGAATAATCAAACATCTTGCCTCTGCTTCCTCAGAATTTCAAAACTCCCACTTAATCTTGAAGACCTCAAGGATTTGGTGGCTGATATCCAGTTTTCACTCGCACCCACTTCCACAGGACAAGGCTGTTAGAGGATGGACTTCCGGCACACTGGAAAATCTTCTCACATCAGACTGTACATTTCCCCGCCTGGTGCACTTCTCAGGCAACGTGTCCTTCGGTAGCTATAAACTATGGGGATAATTTCATCAAAGTGTGGACCATCTCCATTTCTTACTTTCCTTGCACAATAATCACAAAGCGTATTCCATTCTACATTTTCACCTAATCCAAAAACTGTATCCTAAGTAGGATGAAACTGTTTATATTGGGCCAGGACAAATAGCCTGCAGATACTGAAGAGTTTTTTTTTTTTTTTAACCCATGTGATGCATATATCTGTGAGCCATGATTTAAAAACAAAAATGGAAACTGGTTTTGTCATCACCAGTTCAGTCCCAACCAATGCTTAGGACAGTGAAATTTACATTCCCGTTTATGCATTTCAATATTAGATTTTACTTAGAAAAAAAGACCTAATATGAGCTCACACACTTGGCTAGTTTTTCACAATGACTTGGTACTGTTTTTGCTGTGCTGGAAATGGAACATTCTCATTTTTCCTTCCCATGTGAATAAAATTGCTTTGAATCTGTCAAGCTTCATCCTGTGAATGTAATGCATTCTCTTAATTTATCAAAATAATTTTCAATTTTAATTTTTGCCAATCAATTTTTCTTGTTATCCAGTATAACAAGCATGCTATTCTGGCATTAAAGTCATGTATACAGTATAAAACTATGCTAGCACAAATTCTAGAAATACACTTAATATGCTAAAACTGGCAATGCACTGACAATAATTTTCTCTTTTAGTCATCCCAATCAGCCATGCCCTCCTGCTTATTTTACTACTTTTATGTCACCAAGTTACACAAGAAAGACAAATTACCAAGATACGTGTCCTTTGCTTTTGACTTTTGTACAGATTATGCTTACTACAGGGGTCAATTAGATTAACCTGATTAAAAGTCAGATGATATTTATTGGTGTTTGTCATTGATATGCCAATAACATCTGTGGCAATATTCTAAATGCTAATAAATTGATGCCTTGGTGGAAAGTATCTTTATTTAAAAACCCTAGGAAATATATTTAATTGTCTGTGATATCATTGTCACATGACATATGGCCACATTTTAAAAGTATTTTATATTTATTTAACGATTATGTACTTAATTTGAAAACCTTAAAATTAAAATAATAAAGATGAAGAGAAAGGAGTGGTGTCTTAGATATTTAAAAATATGACATAAAATGTTCATGATAAGTAAACATTTTAAATGACAATTCCAATCCTTTGAAATGTTATCTAATGTATTACATGTTAGAGAGCTTCTATTCTACTAAAAGAGCATCAATACTTAAATTATAAGTAAAAAATTTAGAAATAATTCAATTTACTTTCAAATAATAAAAAATCTTTGAAGAAAAAACTACAGCAATTTATTTTTTATGAAAGGAGTATTTGTAGTTACTTTATCATATACTTTTCTTCAGTAAAAGGGGAATTAAACTATTACAGGACACCTTGTTAAGTAATTATATAGTAACATCACTGTGCAATTAAATAGCCATCAGTCCCTGCAGCTGAGAAATTTCAGGTAATTATTCAAAGATAATTTAATAGGAGAATTACTGTATTCAAGCAAGCATTAACTAGTAATCTACCTCAATTAAAGCATCCAATTAATTTCAGAACCTTGATAACAGTTGCCTTTGGCAAAACTATCCTTTGCCCTCATTTGATCCTATATATACAATATTCCTTAAACACTGTATAAAGTGTATTTGCTTCTTCTAAAAGTATAGTCTATTAATAACAGCATTCTGAGAAATTAAACAAATGAAAATATAAAAAATATTGCCTTTCCCCTCCATCTCATTTGTACCTTCTACCCAGACTGTTATGCAGAAATTGATCAAGGCTGATTTGGATTCTGGAGCATCAACTTTCTCAATTTTCATTGTAAAGAGCAGAAAACGTGTTAGTAATGGACGTTTTCACAAGGGGCTTTTGTTTTCAGATTGATTTGTTCATCGGGCAAACTACCCTAGGTAAACATGCCCCTGTGAATTTGCTGTGCTAGTGGTGGCGGAGCTGACAACAAGTGCGCAGAGACTCTTCTGGACGGGATTTCCCCGCTCCTGTTTTCACCTCATCTTTGCGCGCAACAGAAAAAGCCTCAGCTTTGGAGTCGGGTGGGTTTTGAAAATGCAGAGAAGAAATCGTTTTTTTTGTTGTTTGGGGGCCTGCTAATCTTGTTGAATCTTAAGTCTTACGAAGGATGTAATTTTCTTAAAATAAGTCCGCATTTTGAAAGCTGTTTGCTATTCGAAAACTGTTTGTCTAGCTTTCAAACTGTCCCTTAAGAGCCATCGTGGCCTTGACCCACTCACAGCTCTACTGGGTTCTTTGGTAGGTCACTCAGCCTTTTGGGGGACGGACATGGAGGCTCTTCTAAGGGGCCATTTTCAACCCAATAGCAAGTGTCCTCCTCACTGGGGATCTCACACTCTGGGCCGTCTGCTCACAGTAATACCTTGAACTCACTTGCCTCAAGACTGAATTAAAGGTAACATAAGGCTGACCACAAAAGGGAAAAGTACGTGGGTTTGGCTGTGTGTCTTGTCAGATGATTAGAGGTGCCAAAAACACCTACAGGGTTTGTCTGTAGCCATCACTTCAAAGCTCCTGGAGCTCTCACAGCAGCTGTGGAAAATGGGTAAGAAAAGACTGTGCAGATGTCCACGGATGACTCAGGAATACTGCAGGCCTGTCTCCCTTTCTCCTCATTCAGCAGCAGCCTTCGTCTCTAATGTTACACTGTGGCTTCCTTTCTACCTTTGGCTCCCTTTGGAAAATGACCCCATCTGGCTGTTTACTCTGGTTCTCACATGCCATTTTTAAAGAACTGTTTCCAGTATTTCCCTTGGTGGGCAACACAGCACGGCTGTAGGTGGTTAAGTCTCCAGTCCAGCTCAGGACCCTGGGGCTACTCCCCAACCCAACACAAGCCTCCTTTGTAAGAGATGGGACACAGAAATGGTTGTCAGAGGTTATGGGACTGGAAACCTGTTCTCCAGGACGTGGACTAGGGTGAGGTGTGTGAGGCTGAGCCTTGCAAGTGAGAGGTCAAAACCTGTCTGTTTTACATATACTTATACATTGATAATGTTGCCTTAAGTGCCTTTAGTTCTTGATCACTAAAATAGATAAATATGTGCAGTCACTCCACTCCTAATCTTTATTTCCTAAAATTTCTAATAAATCCATGGTTTATGTTTTCTCCACTACATGTGTAATCACCTTTCCACTTTGGTCAATTGATTTTTTCTTTCTTTCTTTCTTTGTTTTTTCTTTCTCTCTCTTTCTTTCTTAACTTAACGTTCTGGGATACATGTGTAAAACGTGCAGGTTTGTTACACAGGTATACATGTGCCATGGTAGTTTGCTGCACCTATCAACCTGTCATCTAGGTCTTAAGCCCCACATGCATTAGGTGTTTGTCCTAATGCTCTCCCTCCCCTTGACCTCCGTCCCCTGACAGGCCCTGGTGTGTGTTGTTCCCCTCCCCGTGTCCATGTGTTCTCATTGTTCAACTCCCACTTATGAATGAGAACATGCGGCTCTTGGTTTTCTGTTCCTGTGTTAGTTTGCTGAGAATGATGGCTTCCAGCTTCATCCATGTCCCTGCAAACGACATGAACTCTTCCTTCTTTATGGCTGCATAGTATTCCATGGTGTATATATGCCACATTTTCTTTATCCAGTCTATCACTGATGGGCATTTGGGTTGGTTCCAAGTCTTTGCTATTGTGAATAGTGCTGTAATATACATACGTGTGCATGTGTCTTTATGAATGATTTATAATCCTTCGGATATATACCCAGTAATGGGATTGCTGGGTCAAATGGAATTTCTATTTCTAGGTCCTCATGGAATTGCCACATTGTCTTCCACAATGGTTGACTAACTTACACTCCACCAGCAATGTAGAAGTGTTCCTATTTCTCCACATCCTCCCCAGCATTAGTCATTTCCTGACTTTTTAGTGATCGCCATTCTAACTGCTGTGAGATGGCATCTCATTGTGGTTTTTTTCCCCAATTTTTTAAATTGCATTTTAGGTTTTGGGGTACATGTGAAGAACATGCAAGATTGTTGCATAGGTACACACATGGCAGTGTGATGTGCTGCCTTCCTCCCCATCGCCTATATCTGGCATTTCTCCCCATGCTCTCTCTCCCCAACTCCCCACCCCCCCACCCCCGGCTCTCCCCTATTTCCCCCCTACAGACCAGTTTTGATTTGCATTTATCTAATGCTTTGGTCGATTTTCTAGTAGCTAAAGAGCAAGTCACTTTTCTACTGCAAATGATACTATCCGTGCTATAAATAGCAAACAGCTTTCAAAATCCTTATTTTAAGGTAGTTGCATCATTCATGAGGCTTAACATATTTTAATATAATTTTAGGTTTTGAAAATTCGTATGAGGATTTTTTTTGGTCATTAACATGGTTTCTTCTTAATTTTTACTAACTTCAGACACAATTTGTAATTTGCAGCTTCCCAGTGAAGAGCAAGAGTTGAGTTTAGCAACTGTTTGGACTGGCCAAGTAACAGGTAAGATGACACACCCACGGCTTCTGTGCCCTGATACCTCTGGCACATAGTAGGCTCAAAGCATATCGATGACATGAATGAATCCCCACCTTTTTCCCAGTACCAGGCTCTTCCCTCTAGGTTTCTTGGATGGTCTAATCGGTGTGCAGTGATATCATTAACTCAAGAAAGTTGTATTAACCACCGGACCAATCCACTATTTTCTTGTTACATTGATATTAACCAACAAAAAGGGCTAGCCTTTCTAAGGCACACAAACAGGCAAACAGAAATGCCAATTTCAGTGTTTTATATCTTAGTCCATTTGGAGTCAAAAGAATTAAAGAACTGAAAAAATATCAAAGAGAGAAAATTAAATAAACTACCAAAGAGAAATTAATGATGTTCCCTCCCACAAAGGAATTTGTTAGCATAAATATATTGATGAGCTCCAAGACACAACTTGAAAGACACTTTAAGTTACACAGGAATCATCAGTTAATAGGCAATATTTTCTGTCTAGAGTTGTGATCCTGTTGACATTCAGAGTGGAATCATACCTCCATCAAACGCATGGTCACCAGTGCATTTCCAGCACACACAATCCACACGATTAAAGCAAGTAACGACTTCTCCAAAATAGCCACAAAACACTCGAAGTCTTAAATTCATTCTGTCTCACACCTCTTGCTATTCTAATTATCACTGCTTTTGGAGCAAGTTACCTGCACTTACCTGATTTAAGTTACCTGCAGTTTTTTTTTTTAGAATTACAAATGGGATACTCTGCTTTTCCTTGTCGTGTCACAGAACTCTGTTACTAACCACATTTTTGAAAAATGCTTTAGAAGATTCAATAAGAAATTTTAAAACCCTAGTGGATTTTATACTGCTGCAAACTCTCTGCATCCCCTAAATAAAGAGGCCCATAATTGATTAATAAAAAGCTAAGTAATTTTGGTATTAATATGATCCCCTGGGAGGCCCCCATAATCACAAGTAGCAGGCCAGTCACAGCACTGCTCAATTATACATCCCGGTAAATAATCTGCAAATCAACAAATGCTATAAGGGGATTTTCAGCATTTTCAATTTGTTAATCCATGATAAATTCCTCTCAAAGGTCAGATAAAGCCCAGTTGCTTTCATATTTTGAGGATCCTGGTTTATTAAAAATGCTTTGAAACAGTTATCAAATCATCTTGTATTTAAAATGATTATGCCTAACACATTAGTGCTATAAATATATACCCACAATACGATGCTATATGACTGTCTATATAAACATATATTTATAAAACTTTTAATTTGCAGGGCAGTACAAGGGCATGGCATGGTATTGGGACACTGTCTTCTCTCTGACCTGTCGGAGCATCTCTGTGACTCAACGTGCTGGCCCACTGGCGGCCCTGGGTGATGTGAGGCCTGCATGGGGGCCCAGGGTCGTCTTCCTTTCCCACCGGGTTCGGGTGTATTCAGTAAGCGTGGCACAAAATGAAAATCTCAGTCTCTGCTCCCCTTGAGTTGCTCTTGTTAAACAATTTTAGAAAAGATTCATTATAATTACTTAGAGGACCACAACTCAGTGCTTAGACCATTCATACCTTTGAAAGTGCTCTTTTCTAAATCACACTTTTTTTCTGTTAAATCTAAGTTCTCTATTCAACCTGACCTCATCAAAGGTTAGTGATTCTGCCCTTTAGAATGGTTAAAGTTTATGGTCACTCTCCATAACCCCACTTTCTTTGTTGTTAGGGAGCACTAATTTCTTTAAATTTCTTCAGTCAGACATGGGCTGTCTTTACCCTCTGAAATACTAAAAAGCAAAAGTCAGTAAAGAGAAATAATGTAATTTGCATAATATTTTTAATGAAGCAATACATATGATCGATTTAATCACATGTGTAGTATAAAGCTCTCCTGTAAAGAAATATCACCATCTGCCTATCTCTTTATTAGATTTTGTAGAAGATACAAAGTATAACAAATGAGCCTTCATGTAATATTCTTAATATAAGAAGAGCTCTTATAAATCAATGAGAAAAAAATAAACATGGCAAAAGGAAAATGAACCAGGGGCAAGAATAGGAAATGTCTAAAGAATAATTATAAGTGATCAATAATTACATGAAAGGGGTTTATCTTCAGTAGTAATCAGTAAAATACATATTCAAACAATAACAAAATGTGATTTTCATCTATCAATATATATTTTTAAATGATAGTAGTGATGGTGAGGGGCTGGGATGTAAGTATTCCTCTGTACTTCTGATGCAAACATAAGTTGGTAGTACCTTTCTTGAGAGGAATTTTGCAGTATGAATTAAAAGCCTGAACATTTCATACTTCTAACATATTAATTTTAGGAATTTATCTTAAGGGAAGTCCTTATCCTAAGAATGTGCAGAGCTATGGAGATGCTTATGACAACCATTTCATAATAGCAGGAACTGAAAACAACCTCAATATCTGATAATAAGGAGACTAATTTAGTATCATATAATATACCCAAATGAAGAAAACCATGTTCCATTAAAAATGATGTTGTAAAAAATATTTAATGGCATAAATGTTTTCTGAATGTATTAAGGTAACAAATATAGGTAAAGACCACTAAATATATGTTGCCATTTAACATTCTCCTTAATATAATTGTTAATGATGTTGCTGTACTCACTCTACCTTATAGATGCCACATAGCTGATATAACTTCTTTCCTAATGTCTGATAGGAAACTCTATATTTTATGATGAACATCCTGGAACACACACTTTTTACACATGTATCTGATGACCTACAGTTTATTACTAACCATTGGATTACAGGGTTAAAGGATAAAAATACTAATAAGGAATGTGACAGATGTTGTCAATATTTGCACACTATTTTTTAAAAAGATGGGCAACTCCTGGCCTTTTGCTCAGTACTGGTTACCCATCTTTTTGCTTAGGGAAAAAGAGGTAATATATGGTTTTTATTTATATTTACTTTATTATAGGCAAGAATGATCACACATACTATCACATTTTCATGTATTTTTAAACTATTTATATTTTGTCTGTAAAAGGTTCATACTGCCCTTTTTAAAATAGAAACATCTCAAATGGAAATTAAAACAGTCTCTTTAGTGTCTTTACTGAAATATTTGCCGAGTAGATTACAACTCTAAGTCACAATGAGATTGGTTTGCTGCTTCTGTGGGCCTGATTATAGGTTCTACCCTTGGAACTAAAGGATCTTTAGAGCCTAATTCTTGGACACCACTGCCAATTTACTTACTTCTTTAGACCAAACCAAATTTTATCTCATGACGAACTAAACAGAGACGCTTCATTTTTCATTCGGTACCATAACACAGGGCTTGGTATTTAGTGATCACGGAATACATGTAAATGAGCCAATGCAGACCCATTTGAATTTAGTTCTTAAAGACATTTATTTATTTGCATTTGAGGATACTTTTCTTTTCTTGACTGCCCCAAAATTTTGACATAAAAAAGGTGAACCTGCTTTTTTCTCAACCAGCCTTTGAGTGTGAATGTGGATCTGATGTGTTAAGAAAGTTTAAGTTAAAAAGAAATTTAGATCTATAACTTTACTACAGCAGTTTCTTCACTTTACTGAAATACAAGATTTTTAAAAAAACATTCTGCATCTGTCAATATACTGGATTTATTCTGTCAACATATCAAATTGCAGAGCTATTGGGATGAAAGACTAAGTGAGAAATTGATGTCTTACTAAAATGCTGAACATTAAGCGACTTTTGGGATGTTGAGAATTATTCTGGCTTAATACTATGTAGGAAAAACAGGAAACCCAAATAACAGCAGAAGGCACAGGGAGAGAAGTGGAAGTAGTTTGGGTCAGTGATATAATATCTGTTTCTTTAGAGGTGTAATGAAAGAGCAACTGGTATGGCTTAAAAGACCTGCATGCGTTTGAATTTCAGTTCCAATTACTACTCGTGAGACCTTAGCAAGTCAATTTACTTTTCTAAGCCTCAGCTTCTCTTTTGTAAAACAGAGATTTTTAAAAACCCTAACAGAGTTGCTGAAAAGGTCAAAGTGCTTTTAATACTAAAAGATCTATACCAGTGATCCTCAAGTGAGGGTGAATTTTCATACTTGGCAATGTCTGGAGATTTTAGTTGTTACAACTAGGAGCAGGTACACTACTGGCATCTATTGGGTAAAGCCAGAGATGGTGTTGACCATTCCACGATACACAGACCAGCCCCTCCCAACAAAGACTTATCTGCTCCAAAAAGTCAATAGTTCTGAGGATGAGCTAGCAGTGCCTTTGGCTCCACTGTTGCATTCTTTGTTAACAATTCAGAGTCTTATTAAGAGCTTTCTTGTTCAAGCAAACCTCAAGTAATGCAATCACAGTAACTGCTTCTCCAAGTGCATGGATTTTTCTTGAGTGATAAACGCTAGAAAAATCACTCTTCTCTAACCAACATGTACAAATCACATCTCTATAAAGGAAGACCAGTAACTATGCCTTGAACATGCTAAACTCATGACACCTGACTTCTCAACAAGAGCTGTATTTCACATGAAATTGTGAAGAGATGTAGGTACAATTGTGAGCAACCACCAACAGAATGAATAGGAGAACATTTTAGAAACTCATAGTAGTGAAACAGCTATTTGACTAGGCTGCTTGACTTAATATAGTTTTGTTTTTCTACGTCTAAGTTTCTCCCTCTGAAAAGTGGGACTTGCCAAGATCAGTCACAGTCCTGAAAGATGGAAGCTCTGTGATACTAGCTCTAATGCCATTGCTACCAAGGGGACATTATGTTACCCTTTCCCGTCCAGGTGAAGAACCATGAAGGAAAATGAGAATACATGTTTTCTCACATATCCTGAACATGTGACATCATTGCACATTTTCACAAATGCAACAGAAAATACACCATTTCCAAATTACCATTGGAAAGTCCGGTTAGTTTCAACAAGAGTAAAACAGTAATTTAATGTTAAAAAAATTATTTATATTAACTGTGTGACTCGGACTGTGGGACTGTGCCTTAACATATAAACTGGTTTGACTAGTTAAACCAGCCAAGAAGTTGGTGAATAGAAGTCATTGAAGGAGATGCTGCCCTTTTAGCCTTCTGGAGAAAACATCTTAACCAGACTTTAATTGAACCACAAAATTAGGTATCTCTCTAAAAATATTACAGGCAATTGTGAATCTTCAATTAATAAAAAGAGAAATGCCTTTATTTGCTTAGTGTACAGGAATATGAAAAACAAGGAAAGGTGCAACAGACATAGAATTAAATCCAGATAATTTAATCAGAAATCCTATTTGAAGAGAAAGCTGTTTATCCAAATGAAATCACCCCCTGTATCTGGTTGATTCAGAAAGTGCCTTAATTTTCCCTGACATATGAAAGAGGTAGATCTTGATGCTCAAATATTTACAAAATGTAAGCATTTTTACAGATTGTTATCAGATAAGGACTTGGAGCACATCTTTAAAGGCTCTTGGGAGGGAACTGAACTTGGATCATTCTTAGCTAACTTATCTAATACACTTCAAACACTTTAAAATAAAACTAATCCCTGCACTGGTGGGTTGAAAACTTTTTCTATCCCCAGGGCACTAAAATAATACCCTTTTGAACAGTAGGTGAAGTATTTTAGGCGACAGTTCTCCAGTTATAACAAGGCGAGTCAGTTTTTAGGAATTAGGGATGCTAATCACAGTATCTCAAGATGTGCATTGCTGGAGAGTGAAAGACAAGCCCAGAAACTGACATGACCGCAGTGTGCTATGATCCCGACAAGGAGATGTAAACGGGAGGGAGACTTGGCTTCATCTATCACAAAGGTCAAGATAATTGGCCACATACAGCAAAATCAACACCACTCGCTGTCCCCTGGCCTAGCGGATAAGCCTGGAAACTCAGCTTCCTGCCGAGCTGAGTGGTGGCAAGCCCAGGTGGAGGAGGAGAAGGTCTGAGAACATGCATGTGAGAATACAAGGCCCTGTAATGATGCCATCTAATTCAGCATTAGAAATATTTTACAGTCAACTGTGATACTGTAGGTTGCCCCCAAACACATAAGAAATGCTTCTGGGGTTTTACCAGAAGACTTCGTACTCTCTCATGTTTATGCTGCTCGACTGTTTTGGGACTCTAAAAGCTCTCAACGTTATAGATGTACTTGTGTTAACAAATGAAACTAAAATAAATGCAATTTATGGTTTAATGCCATTACTAAAATATGACTATATGAGAATTCAACTTCTCTTAAATGTTCCAATTAATCTTACGATTCGAAGCTAGGGTAAGCACTGACAAAAACAAAGGTGTCAGAAAATGTGGATAAAGGTGAAATAACTGAGTGATGAAAAGTAGACTGAGTTTGCTTATCTAGCAGAGGCCTACTGCA